ACAAAAAAAAAAAAAAATAGGAGGACACTTGAGAAAATGATGTCATCCCTGCTTTGGGATGCTTCGCTCAGATTAGGAAGCAAGCTGCTCATCAGCCAGTGTTCAAGGGAAAAAGGCAAGCCACAGGTGCATGTGCCTGGTTCCTCAGAAACTCCAAAGCAGCACAATTGTATGATCAAGCAACACGGCTGTGGGTATAGACGCAAAGAAGTGAGAGCAGGGAGTCCGACTGTGCACACACCCACATTCCGGCAGCATTATTCAAAACAGTCCAAGGCACTGCGGGTGCATCTCAGCATACTCAGCATGTGCAAGGGCCCTGGGTTCCAAAAATATACACGCATAGAAAATGAAGTAGCAAAACGGAAGTAAGGCAAGGGTCCACTGACAGATGAGGGCGAAAGCAAAACAAGGTACACACAATAGCATATTCAGCTCTGAACCGGAAACTCTGATATGTGCTGCCACGTGATGAAGCTTCAAGACACCATGCTAATTTAAATCAGCCATGAAGCCGGGTTCGGGGGGGGACACCTCTAATGTCAGCACATGGGAGGCTGAGGCAGGAGGATCACCTGAATTACAGAGTGAGACCCTGTCTCAAAAAAAAAAATACCCAAATTTTAAAAATTAATTAAATCACCCAGTCATAAAAGGACCCACACTGTAGAATTCTACTTCTGTGAGGGACCTAGAGTTGTCAAATTCAAAGACAGAGAGAATGGAAGTGTTTGCCAGGGGCTGTAGGGAGTGAGGACTTCACGCTACGTGGGTAAAAACTCAATTCTGCAAGATGGAAAACATCTCTGGGGCTGGATGTTGGTAATGGGGGCAGCAGTGTAAATGTGCTGAATGCCACAGAATTGTTCTCAAGTGGCCACACCTGAGCTAGGCGTGGTGGCGCACACCTGTAATGCCAGCTACTTGGGAGGCTGAGGCAGGAGGATTGTGAATTTGAGGCCAGCCTGGGCTACACAGCGAGACCCTGTAAGTACTGATTCCAGTCTGAGCCTCCACAGTTCACAAGGGCCCACGGTCACCAGCAGACAAAAGGCAGCTGAGAGGGAAGCCGGGCCTGGCTCCTGAGTGCTTCCTGCTCAGCTGTGGCGATGTCCCCGTGACCACCCTCCGCCTGCTCCATCCTCTGCACATGCTTTCCCACGGCGTCCACGACAGGGCCTGGTTCTGCTTCCCTGTTTGTGACAAAGCTCTTCTCTCGGTGGCACAAACGAGGAGGGCTAGGTCCCCTCTGGGGTGGAGGCGGGGAGGGACCCGGCC